AGCAAGCGGGGCAGCATCGTCAACAGAGCGTACAGAGAGGGGGCGGTTCGTAGCAAGCAAGTCCAGACAGGACAGTCTTCCATTCGGAGCGACACGGGTGGGGAAATTGACAAGCTGCTGGAGGCCAAAGCTAGAGAACACGTGTGATAGCTCCGTACCAGCACGCGATGTGGTGTCACCACTCCACCAGTCAGAATTGTGGGCATTGTAGTCACCGGTAAGAAAAACATCAAATAAAGAGAGGTCCAAGGAACACAGCGTGTCGGTAAGTATGTCGCAAAAGGAGGTGATATCAAGAAGGGATTGTGAAGGGGGGCGGTAATGACAGCAAATGAGTAGCGGATTGGCCCGGAGACCTGCCGATGCACCAAGCTCAAGCCGTAAGGCCTCGCTTTGGGGAGAATCAAGGTCATGGCGACGGGTGCAATGTGGAAATGTCCCATCACGTATGAGAATGGCCACGCCACCATATCCACGTAGGTTTGATCTCAGGTTCTTATGTGTAGATCTGTCTTTACGGAAGCATGTGTAGCCTGGAACACTGAATGAAAGTGACGGGCTTAGCCAGGTTTCTGTTAAACATATTATGGTGGGCTTGTTGGCCTGACATATTGCGTACAATTCCGGAAGTTTGTTTGTTACAGAGCGACAGTTGATAGTTACAATGTTAATAGAATGTGCGTGGTCCGGGAGAAACGGGAAAGCATGAGCGCTCAACGGGGTGAAGACCGACATTAGTTTGTGGTAGGGGGCGTCGTGGAGCTGCTGTTGCTTAGGAGTTTTAGTAGTTTGTCGCCCAGAATCAGGAAGGAATGGTGGTGCAAGTGGAATATGACCACTAGATATAGAAGAATATGTAACGCAATGAGGGGAAGGGTGTGATGAACTTGCGTGGGGCACAAAGGGTTGGGCAAGAGGATTTAGCTGTTGGCTAGGTGACCGAGGACCCATCACTTGCTAGCGGAGTCGGCATAGCGCCATTTGCGGACGGTGTGCGCAATGGTGTCGGGCCAGAATTCCTTGTCAAGCAGCGTTTGCTCAAACTCTTCCGCGACAGAAACGCGTGCATAGCAGGTACCAAAGTATTGGGTTTCGGCAATTGTGCATGCATATACATCAACGCCCCTATCAGCGCACCAGGTGACAATGGACTGTGCCTTACTTCCAGGGCTAACATTCCCGACAAAGAAGGCACATCGCTTGGGAAGATGTGTGCCAGTGAGTGTGTTGGGGTTGGGGTTTTCTGTGGCCATTTTTCTGTAGACAGACACAACTTTGGATTTTGTTGCCCGGGCAATGGGATCGCTGTGGGCCGCTGATTTATTGCTCCTTCGCCGCTGTTCTTGCCAGTTGTTCTGATGGGGATCGCCTTCTGTGCTCCCAGCAGCACCCTGAGTACATGTGGGCTGTACTGGTGCACCACCGGCGCCTGCTGTTGTAAGTGCGCCCCCAGTTGTTGCATTTCTACCAGTGTGTACGGGTATGTTCCTGCGTTCCATGTGGTTGGTGTTAGGTACGGTGGCCCTGCTAGTGCTAGTTGACCTGCTGTGTAGAGTGCGTGCATCCTCTTCTGGCTGTGTGCTATTCGTACTCACTGTACGAGTACAACGGGATTGCATGTCTGTAGTGTCGCAGTGTACGGGCTTGGATGAACCATTGTACTGCTGCTGGTGAAGCTCTTGCACTTCCCCCTTCAGCTCCGAAATTTCCAGCTTCAAGGACAAAATTATGCTATCCCTGTCCTCCCTCATGGAGGCAATCTCCCCCGCCAAGGCCTGGATAGTGTTAGCAAGGCTATCTAGCTTAGAGTCATTAATCCACGACGTACCGGTGTCAGTGACGGGCTTCCCTCCAACGCCTTGCTTCTGCAGTGCCTGCACCAGCTCTGAATAAAAGCTGCTGCTCACAATTCTTTTCATGCCAGTTAAAGTTACTTTTCAATTAGAGTTGGAGTTACTTCATTTCAGTTCCGTTTTTAATAAACAACAGTGTGTTCACTGAGACCCTTGTATTTTTGCCTCCGAGAGCCTGCGGCCTGCTAAAAAACCAGGCAGTCATGAAATATGTTTACAACTCCCTGGTGGAAACGAGTAATCGCTTGCACGGCGGATCGCGCAGCTTGAAATCCAACTTGAAAAATGGCGGCATCACTGAACGTCAGCGGATTGTAATCAAGGAAGCCGAGGCAAGGCTGAAATAGCTGATAACTACTCAAGAGAGATGACGACTCGCGTGCAGCAGATGACGACAGCGACGCAGGATCAAAATTGAGTCAAGCGATAGCGACGCAAAGTGAGCTCGCTGCTCATTCCGCCAACAGTTTGTCTTGTAAAGACGCTGCACATAGGCTGAACTACCTTTGTTGAGTGATGTACAGTCTATACAAAACTGTTTTTGACCAGTTCAAAGAGTTTTCATATCCATCAAAGTCCATCACGAAGTTTTTGTTATCTGAGGAAGTACTGAAATACCTCAAAGTATTCTGTTGCATCTCAGGTTTGCTGTCTGATTATAATTATGATTGCTTTAGCATCAATGTCTGAGAAACAGCAGCCCAGATGTATATGTTATGTGTACTTCTGCATTTGCTCTGAATTCTTCCAAAATGTGCAGCGATCAACTGTTCAGTGCCAGCAATTTCGAATGGAGCGAGGCAGGAGAGTGTTGTTGTCTTCCCAGGATCCGCACGCTACACCTGTCCTAGTGGTTCAGTAGTTGTCGGAGACCCACGACCTCGCTGTACTCCTTCAGGCGAACTCAGTTCAGTGCCACACTGTCAAAGTAAGTGTGAGGTAAACAGAAAATACACACCTGACCTGTCTGAGTCAATTCCAGTTTACACTCTATACCTTTTCAGGTTAAAAAATCAATGGCTGTAATGGTCAAACACCATCGATTTGCCCAATGTTTGCTCCACTTTCCCCGATGAAGACCTGACACAACTGCTACTGAAATACAACAGTTTTAATCTCTCACAGTGCTTCTAAAAAGTGTTCTGAAGTGTTGGCTATGGAATTTGACTCGTAGTGATCAATTGAAATCGAATGAAATATTGTTAACTTTCATCGACTTATTGTGTGCTCTGGATGGCAATTGTACTCTAGTGAAGCGTGTAGTTGACTTGGACAAGAAAACCGTTAGCCTGCACCACATTTTGCCAGAACTGTGTATGTTAGTCAGTTGTTCAATGCCCCCTACTACCTTGTCAGGTTTCCTGGTTGAAATACAAAGTAAATGTATTCAAAGATACATGGCTATCATTCATCATCCCTGTGACTTGTGTCTTTGTTCTACTCCAGCTTGCAGTTATACTGCCGCTGATCGAATTGTAAGCATATCAATGGAGGGCAGTGTCACCTGTGAATCTGGCTACACATATGCTCACTCTGCCCGGCCGTGTAATGACGGAACAGACCGAGCGCTCTCATGCACTCGTAAGTACCAGAGTCCACCCCATGGCAATTATGACCCTGAAATTATTGACCCGGCGAAACAGTATAATTTTGTTAGAGTTTAACACCAACGAGAAAATTCCTTTTTTTTACTGGCCAGAATTAACCCTTTCGGAGCTAATGACGATAATATCTCGCTCTGAAAGCTGTACCTGAATGGCGGATGACGAGATATCTCGCTTCACTGCACACGTAATAGAAGGAACTGCATGTATCACTATACAGAACAGAACAACAATGACAATCAAGGCTTGTTTGCTGCGACTTCAAGTTTCATGCTCTTGCAATCATCAGGCAACTGAAATGTCGGCGTCCGCTTACGCGAGGAACACAGTAGGACCATACTACATTGTGGGACGCCGGACTGGACGGGGTGTATATCACTATACAAACTGTCGTATCCCATTTCAATGGCGACCAATTTTTACAAACAATATACCGTTGGAAAGGTATTGAGATCAGCTTTCCAGTGAAATCAAGTTCTTTGCGATAGGGCATCTGGTCTATTGATCTCATTTCTGTGCATGCATCAATTATTACTGCTATGTAATTTCTTTTTGCCCAATGCACAGCCATCAACTGCACAGTACCCGAGATTCAGCATGGAGATCGAGAACAAGCCATTCTGTCTTGGACACAGACTGCCCACTACACATGCTTGACAGGGTATGAAATGACCGGAGAAGCAAATCCAACCTGTTTGGCTTCCAAGCAGCTTAGCAGCATTCCTGATTGTCACCGTAAGTACACAGGGAGAAGACTAATAATTGCTACCACCACACATTCTGGAGTCGCATGTCCTCATGTCAATTAAAAATCAACATATCTTAGTGAATTGGC